ACGCTTTGTTCAAAAGTTTATATTAAAAAAGAAATTAGAAATTAGAAAAATATAGACGCTCTCTGTATTTGACGAATAAATAAAAAAAAAATAATCACTGTAATACTTCATTGACGATAGTTTTAAATATTTGCCTGCCCATATAGTTTCCTTTAGTATTTCCAAATTAGTGTAGTACTATATAGATGTTTCTTTATTTATAATCTTTCTTTTAAAAATTTTATATTTTTCTCTCTATGTATTTTTCATCATTTATCTATCAATTTCTTTTTTTTTTTGAAAAATTTATTCTTTACAATTCTTTAAATATTTAATGAAAATTAAATTTTCTAAAATTTAATGTCTAATTTTAATTATCTTCTCTTTACTATTTAGCATTGTGAATATTTCGTTTTTATTTCCAAAATTGTTTTGACATTTTTTTACTCTTACATTCGTTATGTTGAAATTAATTTTATTTATTTACAAATAAAATTAATCACTAAATCATTTGCTGTAGGAAAAAAAAATTATTGAATCAAAGAATTTTTCTATTGGAAACAAATAAAAAAAACCGTTTTGTTGAAATTAAAAGAAATATTTTTTAGAACTGTAATATAATAATATAATAATAATAATTAATAATAATAATAATAATACAATAAGTATAAAATAATATATAATTAGATCGAATTTTCGATAAATATAATAATTATCAGTTGGAAATAAATATTTCTATTCTCAGATGAATTAAATGACAAATAATGATACATATGTTTTTGTGAATAAATTTTCGCGACACCTCTTTCAAAAAGAGACCCTTGAGAAATTGCTGACTGAATAATATGTTGTTCGAGAAAAAAATATTAACCTTGAAGTCCAGTAAAATTCGCATATATATATATACCAATAGTCCTTGAAATAATACAGTGTATACATTTTTTTTTTATTTTCCTTTTGTTTTTTTTTTTTTTTTTTTTTTGTTCACTCCGTCTCGTAGATAAAAAAGAAGAATTATTATCTGCATGTGGATCGAAGTGAAATATCTATGCAGTGCACGCAATATAACAAAACGGAAGTCCTGGACGAAATCCAAATGACTTTAAAAAACTTCTTATAAAAATGCATGCGCGCTTGAAATCTTATAATATATTTATATTTTTTTTTGTGTATATATCTCGCTCTTATCTTTTATTCGAATGATAAAAAAAAATTAGTGTAGGCTCAAAATTTTAATTATTCAGAAAAAAAAATAGAAAAATTTTGAATTTTGACAAAAAAAATTTGATTTTTGCCAAAAATATAATAATAATTACGACGAATATTAATAATAATAATAATAATAATTAATAGTAATAATAATAATATTTCTTTTGCGATACTTTTATTATTGATTATTATTCATAAATGTTAAATTTATATTTCTCGATGCGCTACATCGGTCAAGTTGATTTTACATTGTTTCTAAGTTATCGATTATTATTATTTATTACATTCCTATATATATACAAATATATGGAAAAAAGCTTTAACTGTCAGACATTGAATATGAAGCATAAGATTAAATATTTATTCTTTCTTGATTTTTTATATATGTATGTGTTACGATAAATTTTATTCGAATTATATTTATGTATATATATATATATTTATGATATGCATATTTTATATGCACGCTATATTATTTGTCAAAATCTGCTGCTTTAGCTGACAAAATAAATCTAACGGATCACTTGATGTGATTTTCGCGCTTGAATACATTACATTACACAGACACATATATATACACACACATGTGGGACGTGGATCTTTTTGTTCTAAATTTCCATTCAGCTCACTCGCAGTTCCCTTTAACTTAACGTTTGGAAAAGTTGAACGAAAAAGAATGAAAAAACTTCAGTTTCAAAGTAATGAAAAAGTTTTCAAAAAAAATGTTCATCTTTTATTTTTTCAGAAATTTTTAATAATAACTACAACGTAAATAATCAATGTTCTTTTTAAACACTTGTTAACAACTTTACTGTTAATACACCAACTGTTATTATTATTTTTATTATTATTATTATTATTATTATAAATATTATTTTATTATTATTATTATCATTATTATTATGATTATAATTATTATAATTATTATTATTATTATCATTATTATTATTATTATCATTATTATTACGATTATAATTATTATTTTATTATTTTTATTATTATTATTATTATCACTATTATTGTTTTTACTGTTGTTTGGTTTTATTATTATTATGAAAATTTAATGTTTATTTGTGTAAATTATGTAAATTCACATACACTGGGGGCAAATTATGTAAATTTATTTCGATTAACATAAATTTATGGAAATTTTAGTATATAACGCGTGTAAATATAATAATTAACATAATTATGTTGACAAATTTAAAAAAAAAAATTAATTTTTTCTCCTTTAGAGATTAAGTTACATTTCAATAATAAAACAGCAAAACAATAATAAAAAAAAAATAGTAAGTAATATAGAAAAAAGAAATTTTTATTATTTTTACAACAAAATATTAAATTATTAGGAAAAAAAATGATAATTTTGTTTATTCACAAAATATTCGTTTTTTAAAAAGAATATTTTATTTATTAATATTCTTTTTTTCATTTTTGATTATTGGAAATCATATCAAAAAGCTGAACAGCTTAAAATTGATTATATAAGAGTTTCAATTAATTTTCTTCGTTTATTTTTGACAGATAGATACATATATATGTATATTTTTTTTATAATATTTTTGTTATAGTATTGAAAAACTTTTTTTTTTTAAATATATTTGATTGAAGTTTTATAAATAGATTTGAATATGGTTTTTGTTTGAGGCTTTTATGATCAATTTAAAGTTGAATTGTTTGACAGATACGAGAGGAGAACTTGTTGCTTTTCAAGTTTCGATACACGTACTGACTCTCAGTTTATATATATATATATATATATATATATATAAACAAGACCAACTTGTATGCAAATTTTATTATAATGATTTTGACCTACTACCTTATAAACACTTTGGGTGTCTTCAGTTTAATCGTTGCTAATAGTGGCAACGTTTTATTATATAGACTTTACGAACCCCACTTTAGTACTAAAGAGAAAATTATGACTTCACGTTTTCATGGAAGGCCATCTTTTTCATCTAAATCATCTTCTTAAAAGTTTCCTCCTATATTTTTTTTTCTGATAATAATTTGTATTCTCATTTTAAACTTGATAAGTTTTTTCCTATAAGCGTTGAATTTTTAAAATATCCAATTTAATTTTTCTGTCAATTACAAGATTAATTTTTTTTTTTCGTTAATTAGAATATCAAATTTTTACTCTATATAATATATAATTTTACTCTATATAATATATATATATATATATATATATATATAATATATAATAATATATATAGATTATATATTATTATATAAATAATTTAGAAATTTTTATTAATTAATTTTTGTTTAATTATAATTAAATTAGAAAATAAAACGTTGATTTATGAATAAAAAGTACTTGTTGATAATTTGATTATTCATCATAGCAATGAGAATTTTAAATTAGAAAATGTAAATTTATGCGCAAGTATCATGTAGCAGACAATTTGAATTTGAAAAAAAAAAAAACAAAAAAAAGTGTTTCATGAATATATTTGAAACATTTATTTTTTTTTACAAAATATAGAATATGTATATAGGTGAGAAAAATTGTTTTATTTTTGCTGCAGTACAAACTCATTATCATATATTGCCATAAATGTGTAGTGAAGGTTTTTAAATTTGAAATTTTCACTTAGAATCCATCCAAGAGTATGATATTGAATTGCTTGAGAGACAGCACTATATATATATATATATTTCTAACTCTTTTGGGACATATGAGGAGAGAAATTTGTTCCGATTTCGGAGGTCATCCCTCTTTTTTTTTTGCTTCTAAACTCTGATTTGAGAGGGAAGACAGGCTTCTCTTCTTCTTCATTTTCTTATTTCTTCTTTTTTATTACTTCTTCCTCTCTGCTCGTAGTACTGCAATAACCTTGCTCCAAATAATTTTTGGAAAATTTCCTCTCTTTAATTCATATCCAATTTGTAAAGATTAATTTTTTTTTCTAACGTCTCATTAATAATTTTCGTTTCAAATTTTAACTTATTGTTTATTTAAACACTTTTTCTATTCGTTTTTATTTTATAATTTATATTTACTATTTATCAAAGGGTTATTAATTCTATTCGAAATTCTCGATAAAAAAAAATTTATTTTTATAAATCAATCATTTTTATTTATTATTATTATTATTTATTATTTTATTTATTATTTTATTTATTAATTTATATTTATTTAAATTGATTAATATTTATTAATAAATAAAATAAATATATATTTTTATTTATGTTCGGTGTGAACAAAAAATTATCCATTCTAAAAACCATTGAATTTGCGTTTGATTTCATGCTCGTAAATTGAATGTTATACATTTTGTTCCATTTGACCGCACTCTGAATTATATATTATTTCTCTAAAATAAAACATTCACTGAATGTAGAACCTTAAAATTTTTTCTTCTACTATAGGGTTAATGTTTTTCTGGTCATATAATTCAATAAAAAAGTGAGGTTATTGATATCCAATATTATAGTTTACTATTCCCGACTCGAAGATGAAGATAAAAAATGGGTGCATTCTGTTATTGATCAATGTTTGGTATTTTCTTGTCACTATTACATACATATAGATATTGTATTATACTCGGAAATATATTATTTTTCATGACCTCTAGTGATTTTAGTAGAATTTTTCATTAAAAAAAAAAAAAAAACCCCTAACTGATTAGAATTATTCGAAAATAGTTTTTTTCAAAACCAAATTATCACTAAAATACTTTCTAATTAATTATAAAAATAGATTTTGGGTAATTTTTTAATAATTCGATAATGGTCATCTAGTGAATCTAAAAAGAAAATTATCAATTTCTAAAAATTTTCCATTAAATACAAATATATAGGATATGTGCGACAAAAAGAAAAATATTCAAAAACAGTTTATAAGACTGATTTGATGTTCAGTGTGCTCTTTAAATATTCTCATGTGTGTTATGTATACGAAATTTATTTCCGGATAATATGTGTTTAAAGAATAAAATAAAAAAAATTACAACAAAATGAAGAATACGAATAGAATGAAGAATAGTAGAAAGACAAAGACTAGTAAACGGATAAAAAATAGTATAATAAAAAAGCAAAGAGTAACAAAAGGACAGAGAATAATAAAGAGATGGAGAGTGTAATCCCAATGTAAATGGAAAAAAACGAAAGAAAAGAGGAATTTTCTACAAAGTAAAGTCACCTAAGAAAAAGAGAGAGAGAGAGAGAAACAAGGATCAAAAAGAAAGCGTCGAGTGCTCTTGGAAAACGAATTAGGAATACATATCGATTGGATTTATTTTTCTTTTCTTTTTTTTGTTTCGTTTTACGAAAAATGCTATACAATATGGCTGTGTAAAGTGAAAAAAAAGTGTATTATCAAAAAGTGAAAAACGATATTGTGTGGAAAAAAAAATGAAATAAATAGAGTGGCGGATGAAGAAGAATCGAAGATGTAGGTGGATGAACGAAATATCGGATAGATTAGATGTCCGAGGTGATTATTTGTCGGTGTTGGGAGCCCAAGGGGCCGTGCTGGTTATCTTGCACTAGCCCATGTCTCCCGAGTGAAATAAAAGAAGAAGAAAAAGAAAAATTAGTGTCAAGTTTATTGTTTTGTTTCTCTATTTTCGTTGACAACAACAAGTCAACGTTTTATTGTTGGTATATAGTGTCGCACAAGTTGGAGCCTCAGCGAGGTTCCTTCTTGTTATTGTGCGAGGCTGGCGAGCGCAATGTGGCAAAGTGGGGGCATGGGCACCCATGCGGCCAACAATCCATGGATGAAATTAATGGGCATTGTGCACAGCAAAGAACGAAGACATCACGAAAATGTTGCCGGTTCTGGAGCGCAAACAACTGGAACCAATCTCAATGCGGAACGGGGTCTCAATCAGTGAGTTGTTTTTTTGCATTTCATAAGCACTCAAAACACAAATTTTTGCCAGGAAGTAGAGAGACACTTTTTTTATATTTATTTTCACCTGATGAATATTATTATCGTTCAATTATAACATTTGATTCATAATCAGCGATCCCGAAAAACCAAGAGTGCAAATTTTCAAGGCAGATTTGATAAATAATCGAAAAATTTTCCACCATATTGGATTCGCTATTTTGAATTTTTAAAAACTAATACCGGATTCGTAATCAGCGACCCCAAAAACCCCCAAGTGATAATTTTCAAGGGAATCTGATAAATTTAAAAAAAACTTCAGCCATATTGCATCTGCCATTTTGAATTTTTAAAAACTAACACCGGATTCGTAATCAGCGACCCCAAAAACCCCCAAGTGGTAATTTTCAAGCGAATCTGATAAATTTTCAAAAATTGTCAGCCATATTGGATCCGCCATTTTGAATTTTTGAAAACTGAGGCCAGATTCGTAATCAGCGACCCCGAAAACCCAAGAGTGCAAATTTTCAATGCAGATTTGACAATTTTTTGAAAAATCTACCTCAATTTGGAATCCGCCATTTTGAATTTTTGAAAACTAACACCGGATTCGTAATCAGCGAGCCCAAAAACCCCCGAGTGGAAAGTTTCAAGCGAATCTGATAAATTTTCGAAAAATCAGCCGCCATTTTGGATACGCCATTTTGAATTTCTGAAAACTGAGGTCAGATTCTTAATCAGCGACCCCGAAAACCCCCGAGTGGAAAGTTTCAAGCAAAGCTGATAAATTTTAATAAAATTCCGCCATATTGGATCCGCCATTTTGAATTTTTTAAAACTAACACCGGATTCGTAATCAGCGACCCCGAAAACCCCCGAGTGGAAAGTTTCAGGCCAATCTGATGAATTTTTGCAATCATCCGCCACATTGGATCCGACATTTTGAATTTTTGAAAACTACTTTCAATTTTTTAGTTATTTTTGATTTTAGTTTTTAGAAATTCAAAATGGCGGATCAAATATGGCGGATGATTGCAAATATTCATCAGATTCGCCTGAAACTTTCCACTCGGGGGTTTTCGGGGTCGCTGATTACGAATCCGGTGTTAGTTTTTAAAAATTCAAAATGGCGGATCCAATATGGCGGAATTTTATTAAAATTTATCAGATTCCCTTGAAAATTACCACTTGGGGGTTTTTGGGGTCGCTGATTACGAATCCGGTGTTAGTTTTTAAAAATTCAAAATGGCAGATTCAATATGGCGGACATATTTTTTAAAAATTGCTTGCATTTGCTTAAAAATTTGGTACTCGGGGGTTTTTGAGGTCGCCGATTACGAATCCGACGTTAGTTTTTAAAAATTCAAAATAACAGATCCAGTAAGACAGAATTTTTTGAAATTTTTTTTTAAATTGTTACTCAAATGAAAATTAAATTACTACTTAATTAAATCATTAATTAAATCAATTACTCTGTAACAAGTGAGATAATTGATAAAATTAACTAATCCATAATAATTATATTTACATATTGAAATAAATTAAATCGTTTAACTGTAAAATATGAGAATAACAAATTTGCTACGAAATTTTTAAATTCGTTAAAATAAGTGATATATAATTTTCAAAGAATAGATTTGTATATTACTTGTTGTAATTTATTTGTATAATGTACAAGTCTGCATTGCAGTTGAAAATTTGAAATTTTATATTATTTGAAGTTGAGAGTTTGTAGTGCCCTTTTTTTTACTGTGTTAAGTTAAGAGAGAGAGAGAGAGAGAGTATTCCAGATTTAAACTTCGTAGAAAATGCTTGTGATCAAGTAGAGGAAATGATTTAAAAGAAAGAAGGAGAAAAAAAAATTATCACAAGTGCCGTATAGAATTAAAGTTGAAAATTACCTTCAAAGGGGAAAAAGAGAAAAAAAAAATTTTTCTCTAGAGAAATTTAAAGAGGGAAATTTTCTCTAGAAAAAATATAAGTATAATTATATTTCACAACTCTATTTTAACTAATTTTAACGTTAAACAAGAAAATTTCTCTTAAACATAGATAAAAGTTTATTAAAAAAAAAAAAAAAATTCTTGATTTTTTTTCTATTAAAAAAACGTTAATTAAACTAACAGTAATTTTTAACTGTTTTTGTTGTAAAAAAAAATAACATAATTTTTTATTCTAAAAGTATAACAGGGGTATTATTATTATTATTATTATATTTAAGTATATTACTAAAAAAATGGTTTTTTTATAGTTTTTGGTTGTTAAAATTTCTTTAACGTTTTCTTTTAAAGTAAACTTTTATATTTTTATAGTGTTGTCTATCCGTATAAAATACTTCATGTGTCAGTAGGTGGAAAGTGGATATTGAAGAATGGGTTCGAGATCAAGTAGACTGTAATATACATTGCATATTATGTATAGATAAAAGACAATTGAGAACGTCCGATATGTAAAATTAAATTGAAAATGCTTATTCAAGTTAATGCCACGTGAAACGTAAACAGAAAAATATTTTATATTATATTGCCCTCGGGGAAATAATTTTAAAAACGGATATTAGTTTCATTCTTTTTATAATAATTTTACCGGAAATGAAAAATATGATAGTTCGAACAATAATTTCAAAATATAAATTTTTAGTTAAAATAAATAATAATAAATTTTATTTATTTATAAATTATTATTTTTTAAAAAATATTATTTAAAAAATATTTACTTGAAACAGAGAAAGGTTTCACTGGAATAACGAAAGATTTAACTGAAATTAGTAAAAATTTTCCTACTATAGCAAAACGTTTTGTAATTTTAGATAAATTTTTTTCCATGTATATTGGATATTGGATGGAAAAAAATTTATCTGAATTTGAAATCTGAAAAAAATAAATTTTTTTCCATGTATAACTATACATGGAAAAAAATTTATCTGAAATTACAAAACGTTTTGCTATAGTAGGAAAAATTTTACTTATTTCAGTTAAATCTTTCGTTATTTCAGTGAAACCTTTCGCTGTTTCAAGTAAATTTTTTTTTTCGTAATCATAATAGTGAAAAATAATAATTAAATGTTATAATAAATATTATATTATTAAATAATAATTAATTATTTTAAAAATATGTTTTTGTAATAAAAAAACATTTTTTTAAATAATTTTATTTTGAGGAAATTAAAAATGTTTTGTAAATATATAAAAAAATAAGTTATAATTATATATACTTAATAATGTTCTCTGTATATGTAAAGTTTACATTAAAAAATTTGCCTCTTTATTATTTGCAGTTGAACGAATAAACAGAAATCTTTATGAAAGGAGAAAAGAAAACCGTCTATATGTATAAGATAGGAAAGACGTAATATTTAGATTGCAAGAAACATTTCCCTTTCATAATATATAATGAAAGTAGAAATTCTTGTTAAAACACTTGCTGTACCAACGAATATATATATAGATACGTACTTTTGATTATGTTTCGGTTCAACATATTTCTTTTTTTCAGAAAAAAAATTTTTTTTTTAAAGAAAAATATATATATATATTTGTAATTATTGTTTCGAAAACATATTTTTTTGTAAAATATCTCTTAGATTATAATTAATTATTTATTAAATAAATATAATATCTTATTTTATAATTAATAATTAATAATTAAATATAATCTCTTATTTTATAATTGGCACGAAGTATTATTAGTACTGAGTTCAATTTATATATTAAATATAAAGCTTTGAGTATTAAAGTTTTGTTGAGAATTTAATGGATTTTCATTGGGAAAATTTCGCTTGTACGAATTCTTGAGAATATTCGGTCTCATAATTCTTGTTAATCTCCAAATAGTAGGTAATCTCTAGGTCGATTGTTCTCTCTCTCTCTATCTCTCTCTCTCTCTCTCTCTCTGTCTCTCTTTCTCTCTTCGTACATAAGGTGGGCGGAAAATAATATGTTGTGGCTATCCATGGGTGGTATAATAATTAGAACTTGCAGAAAGTCTAGAAGTTTTAAGCTAAGCGGTCATCAACACTGCATTATATTGCTACTAAAATACAGAAAAGCAAATTTCCATCTTATCTTATAATTTCTTAATGAAAATTTTTTTTCAAAATTTACTTCACTATATTTTTACCGAAAAAATGTTTTGAAAATTTTGAATTTTTTAACTCTTCATTTTTTATATAGAATTTTTTTTTTAATATAGAATTATTAATAATGTTGAAAGAATGCAAATATATACATATAATAATAACGAAGAGGATTGAAACATAAACTTTCAACTTCCTTTATAAAGCAAATATTATATCCCACTGGTTTTTGCTAAAATTAACTCTCTCTCTCTCTCTCACATCATTTTAAGTTTCAAGCTTTGATATTATAAATTTCGTTGGAATTCACGCTATAATTGCGCGTCCCTGATTTTTTTTAATTGCTGCAATTAATGACTTTTGATGTTTGAAACGAGAGTAGGAGGAAAAAAAAAAGATTTTTGCATTTTTTCTTTTTCGCGCATTCAATGCAATTATATGGCAATTATAAACTTTCGTGTATGGAAATTTAGTTTTGTTTATAGTTCCATTAAAATCGTTTATGTTTATTTTTATTTTTTTATTTATATTTTTATTTGTTTTTTTTTATTTATTTTTTATTTTTATTTATTTTTTCTATTTTTTTTAATTTTTTATTTATATTTTTATTTGTTTTTTTTTATTTTTTTTTTTAATTATAATTGTTTAGTTCCATGATTTATGGTTCCATTTGGTTCCACAAAATTGTGTTTATAAATGATTATAATTATCATTAAAATTTTATAATTATATATGTTTATGATTTTATATTTTTAATGATAAAAAATTAGCGTTTTTTTTTTTTTTATTATGCCAATGTTTTTTTTTTTTTTTTTTTTTTCTAAAATCGTATACATTATAATTTAGCTTTGTGCGTGTATAGCTTGACAGAGGAAACTATGCTTCTGTGTTGCCGGAAACAAGGAGTACATAACTTTCAGGGGGA